CATTTAAGTGAGCATGCAAGGCTAAGAGTCCAACACATAACCAACAATGTAAAATACTCAAATTAAATCCTTAATTATCATAATGCTAAAATTCATAAAAATAGATAATTCTTATCATATGAAATTGTCCACCAAGTCTACTAATATAATCCACTCCCCGCGCAGCTCTACTCAGAATCTGAAAAAAGATAAAAATAAAATAAGGGTAAGCTAGACAGTCTAGTATATAACCAACCATCACTGCTAGCTGGATCAAGTATACAAAAAAAAAAAAAAATGCTGATAACCAATAAATATAATTTTTTGCTACAATTCAATAAATGAACAATTATTTGTAAGATGGTTTCATAGCTAAAAATAAACAATGTACAATACATTTTAATTGAAAAGCCAACAAGATAATTCAAAGTAAATTCGTTGTTCAAATCGATGGTTCAATAGTCAGATGGTTCAATGATTTGATTCACAAAACCCAAGTCTTGGTGACTACGGTCACATAGCCCGTGACAAGACCCCGAACCACACATAGGCCGGTGGTAAAGCCCCAAAAGAAACTAGTTTTTGTGTCAATAAATAACTCCTATTGGCTAGGGTCCAAATCATAGTCAGACTAGAGTGATGTTCAAAATTCAAACAATACACAACTTTTAAATAAAATATTTGATATTTTTAGAATAAACATTTAGTACAATTTTCATAATAGTTTCATAAAATATTCAAATAATTTTCAAAATAATATTCGATGCTGTTTTATACTTGACCCATATTTTATTTTAAGAGAACATGAAGGCTATGAATAAATACTTATAATTTTAAACGATTCAATAGGAATAAAAATGTACCAACAGTGATAGAGGGTTACTTACCTCAAATGCTTAAAAATAATATTCCAACACCAATTCCAAACACTCCGCTCCACCACTTTAATCACACAAACCTAATAATTAGAACCTCAAATAAATTAATATTTTTGTCTCTTTCACACATCCACAAAACCCACTGTATGTATGAAAAGTGCAAGAAATACCAAATCAATTCTCCAAATTAATAGTCAAACACACCTTATCTAATATACCAAACTCTATTGTCAAAACTACACCCACACAATAGATTGCACTTTTATCATCAACTTACACAAAGCACTATACACGTTGAACCTTACAACCATTAGGCGTCCCCACAGGTTTTCTTTTCCATCACCTTTTCTCTGCCTATTGATCTATTAAATATAATAAACAATGGTGTAAAACAAAAAGTACCTTGATCAATGAGCATAAAAAATGCGCCCTTTAATTCCCTACCACCACTTCCAGCGAATCCTCTGCGCAATTGATAACAAAATAATATAAAACCCTTTTTCCTTCTTTTCTTTTTTTTTTTTTTGGTTGAAAACCTAATTCTTAAGATTACTAAATTACCCATACAATTTATTTTAATTATTAATCTATCCAAAAATAATTCTATAAATAACTTGGGATTTACATTCTCCCCCCTAAAAGAAATTTCATCCTCGAAATTTGACATACCTGGAGTCTTAAAAAGTTGTGGATACTTTTGTCTTATTTCATCCTCGAGTTCCCAAAGAGCTTCTCTTTCCAAGTGATTGTTTCATTGAACCTTAACGTAGTGGATGACTCGAAGCCTCAAAACCTGTTCCTTCATATCAACAATTCGTATAGGGTGTTCCTCATAGTTCAAATTTTCCTTAAACTGCAATGGTGCATGATCAATCACATGACTAGGATCTGGTATATACTTCCTTGACATTGAGACATGAAAAACATTATGAACTCCGGCTAGTGAAGGTGGTAGAGCAAGTCTGTAAGTTACCTCTCCAATTCGATCTAAAACCTCAAATGGCCTAACAAATCTAGGACTCAATTTACCACGAACACCAAACCTCATTACTCCTTTCATAGGAGACACCTTAAGGAATACATGGTCTCCAACCCCGAACACCAAATCGCGTCTCCTATTATCTGTATAACTTTTTTGTCTACTCTGTGCAGTGCAAAGTCGCTATCTAATATGATTGATCTTGTCCACAGTTTGTTGCACAATCTCAGGCGCTAACAGCTTCCTTTCGCCTACATCATCCTAACAAATAGGTGATTTACACTTTCGTCCATATAAAGCCTCATATGGTGCCTTCTGAATGCCCGCATGATAACTGTTGTTATAAGAGAATTCCACTAAGGTCAAATGCTCATCCCAAGAACCTCCAAGATCTATAACACAAGCCCTCAACATGTCTTCGAGGGTCTGAATAGTTCTCTCTGACTGTCCATCAGTTTGAGGATGAAAGGCAGTGCTAAAATTCAACTTAGTACCCAAAGTTGCATGCAAACTGCTCCAAAACATAGATACAAATCTGTTATCTTTGTTAAACACTATGGTCACCGGAATACCATGCAACCTCACAATCTCCTTGATATAAAATTTTGCAAACCTCTCTAAGGAGAACCCCACCTAAAAGCTAGAAAGTGGGCGGATTTTGTCAATCGATCAACGATAACCCAAATAGCATTGTTACCCCCTTGGGTCCTAGGCAACCCTGTCACAAAATCCATGGTAATATGTTCCCACTTCCACTCGGGAATAGGAAGAGGCTGTAACTTACTTGCAAGTCTCTGATGTTCAACTTTCACTTGTTGACATACCAAACATTGAGCAACATACTGAGCAATTTCCCTCTTCATATTATTCCACCAAAAGTTCCTCTTCAAGTCTTTATACATTTTAGTGCTCCCTGGATGTACAGTATATCATGAACTGTGAGCTTCTCTCAGGATTTCTCTCTTGTGCTCTAAATCATTAGGCACACACAACCTCTCTCCAAATCTCAAGGTTCCATCTTTATGCATACAAAATTCCATCTGTAGCCCTATTTCTATTTCGGCCTTAAGTTTTTGCAACTGAGGATCTCTTCCCTAAGCATCTTTAATTCTATCAATTAATGTGGGTTGCCAACTACACTCCATGGCTGTGCCATCTAATCTCGATATTCAGCCTTCGCAAGTCCTCCAAGATATTCTTTTGGTCAGTGATCAAGGTAGCCAAATTACTCAGTGTCTTTCTACTCAAGGCACCCACCACTGCATTGGGTTTTCCCGGATGATAATTTATAGTCAAATCATAGTCCTTTAATAGCTCCAACCATTGCCTTTGCCTCATATTCAATTGTTTTTGAGTGAAAATATACTTCAGACTTTTATGATTAGTGAATATCTCACATTTCATCCCACACAAGTAGTGCCTCCAGATTTTCAATGCAAACACCATTGCAGCCAACTCCAAATCATGCGTGAGATAATTCTGCTCATATGGCTTCAACTGCCTAGACGCATATGCCACTACCTTATCATTTGGCATCAGGACGCAATCCAAGCCCATCTTTGATGCATCACTATAGATGGTAAAACCGTCATCCCCGGATAGAACTATAAGTACTGGAGTAGATACCAATCGACTCTTTAGATCTTGGAAACTCTTCTCATAATCATCAGACCACTCAAATTTTACCCCTTTGTGTGTTAAACGAGTCAAAGGCATAGAAATTCAGGAAAATCCCTCAATAAACCTTCTATAATATCCTGCTAAATCCAAGAAGCTACGAATTTTAGTGACACTAGTAGGCCTATTCCACTCTGCCACCGCCTCCACTTTCTTGGGGTCAACAGACACCCCGTCTTTAGATATCACATGACCCAAAAATGATACACTCTCCAGCCAAAATTCACACTTCTTTAATTTAGCAAATAATTTCTTCTCCCTTAATATCTGTAACACTATTCTCAAATGTTCTTTGTGCTGCTCTTTACTCTTCAAGTACACAAGAATGTCATCAATAAAAACTACCACAAACTGATCTAAGAAGGGTTTAAATACTTTATTCATTAAATCCATAAAAGCTGCAGGCGCATTGGTCAACCCAAACGGCATCACTAAAAATTCATAATGCCTATACCTAGTTCGGAAGGCTATCTCAGGTATATCTTCTGCCTTAACTTTCAACTGGTGATAGCCAGAACGAAGGTCAATCTTAGAAAAGACTTGTGCTCCTTGCAACTGATCAAATAGGTCATCTATTCTGGGCAAAGGATATTTATTTCGAATTGTCACCTTGTTTAACTCTCGATAATCAATGCAAAGGCGAAAACTACCATCCTTCTTTTTCACAAATAAAACAGGCGCACCCCAAGGAGAAACACTAGGCCTAATAAAGCCCTTATCTAGTAACTCTTGTAATTGTTCCTTCAACTCTGCTGGGGCCATCCGATACGGTGCCTTGGAGATAGGACCTGTGTCGGGCATCAGTTCGATGACAAACTCAATCTCTCTATCTGGTGACAACCTCGGTAAGTCTTCAGGAAAAACATCGAGAAATTCCTTTATAACTAGAATATCCTCTAACTTCAATACAGTCTCACGCGTATCTCTCACAGAAGCTAAATAACCCTCACAACCATTCCTTAACAATCTTCTAGCTTGCAAAGCTGAGATTAGCAAAAGAGGAGTGTTAACTCCACTACCCACAAAACAAAATTCTAGTTGATTAGGAATCTGAAATACTACCCTTTTGCCTTGACAATCAACAGAAGCATAATTGGTTGCCAACCAATCCATTCCAAGAATTATGTCAAAGTCCCGCATATCTAAAACAGTCAAGTCGACAAGCAATCTCCTGCCATCTATACTAACCACACGAGATTTGCAAATTAAGTCAGCAACCATGACACCTCCTATTGGGGTTTCAACACATAAGTCAATCTCTCTAGAGACACATTTCCATCCATGTTTCTTAACAAATCCCACAGACACAAATGAATTTGTAGCTCCAGAATCAAATAACACAGGTGCATAAATAGAAGACACTAAAACAGTACCTGACACCATCGTGTTGGAAGTCTGAACATCTTATTGTGTGAGTGCGTACACTCGGCCCTGAGTCCTTGGCTTGTAACCTCCATTTTTATTTTGATTTCCTAAAGACCCTTTGTCTATTGATGCTCCTTTATTTGTCCATGTTTTCTGTTCAGTCTCACGCCACTTCCGGTTAGGCAATCAGCTATCCTGTGCCCTTGTTGCTCGTAGGAGAAACAAGCCCCAGTATTCCAACGACACTCACTATCTCGATGGAACCCATTACATCTAGTGCACTGTACTCGATCATTCTTCTTGTCAACACTACCACCCACAGTTCGACTTCCCCAACTCCTAACGTAAGAAGGGTTTTGTCTCTTAGCATTTCCCTTCGAACTGTTGTTAGTTTGAAAGTTAGAAGAACTAGGCCTCTTCTTATAATTCTCTTCTTTATCTTCTTGGGCTCTAGTGAGGCCACTCTCAACCAATAATGCCTTACTCAACATTGCTCCAAAAGTAGGTAACTCGAAAGGAATCACCTATTACATAATGTTCGTTCTTAGCCCACCTTCGAACTTTCGTGTTCTACTATCCTCGTCTGCCTCAAATGCTGGTGCAAATTTAGACAACTTCGTAAACTCGGCTTCATATTTTGCAACCGTCTTATTCCCTTGCTCTAACTTCGAAAATTTCCTTTTTTTTTTTTGTAGACGAACACTCCTAGGGAAGTATTTCTCATTGAATGCATTCTTAAACCTTTCCCATGTATAGGGGTTGGCATCATGCTCATGTATGCGCTTCTCCATCTGCCACCAATTATTAGCTATCCCTTGTAGCATAAACGTAGCATAGGTCACCTTCTGATCATCCGTACATTCAAAAATGGGAAACAACTTTTCCATTTCTGTCAACCATTTTTCAGCCTCCAAAGGGTTTGTGGCTCCGTCAAATGCCAAGGCTATCTTCTTAAACTCAGCAATGTTACAATGTGGCCTCGGTTGTGGCCCAACACTTGGCTGCATCCATTGTTGTTGCTTCATAAGTCTAGTCTAGTTATTCCCTATGGTGGTTTGATGTTGCACCACCCCGGCCAAAGTCTCAAACACTTGAACCATTCCAACTTGATTGGGGATTGCAGCTTGTTCTTGTTGTCCCACTTGGTTGCATCCATTGAATTCTCTTAGGATGAATCTTGACCGTTACAAGGAAGAAGTTAAGTAAAAAAGGCAAGGAGAGGATCCTTACTCCATCAACACAGCTAGCCTTCGGTTCACCCCCAAAAAAATTTGAGTTTCCCTCTAATATTTACCCATGTATTGGATCAACTATCAATGTATCTATAGGCTCGATTTTCTTCACATGCCCTCCTTTCGGAGAGGCGCGAATTGGTCCTCTACAGTTCAGATTCCTGCCACGGTTCCGAATCTAATCTCACAATGTGCAATGTGAGACTGATAAACACAGAAGAGTCCAAATCTGGGAAATCATTTTGGAAAATCGATTTTAAATCAAATAATGCCACAACTAGACTACTTTGATAGATTATAGAGTCGCCACCTAAATATTTTATTTTTAGGAAATTTAGGAAACCCTGACTCGTGCCAAAGGCCATGTGTCCGTCATCACCAAAGTTGCCTCGGTTCGGGAACTTGGGTACAAAAGGGGAAGGTCCTAAAATATGCACCCCCGCTCGCCCGATCAAAGGATCGGCCTCTACTAAGCAAGATATGTTGTTTTATAAACACATGTGTTCTTATTTCGGTTATTAGCTAACTTTACTAGGTGATGCGCAGAACATACAAGTATAGACTAAATCGCGAGAATTGGAACAAAACAGCTCGCGTTTGTTTTTAAAAATGGTTTGAAATTGCCACTCTCAAGTGGGCTAAAGCGCGGATTTGCCACCCCCAGTTAGGCTTAAAACATGATTTGCCACTTCGCAACGTGGGCTTAAAACTCACAATCGTCGAATTGTTCCAATTCAAGCAACAAAGCCTTCATCCACAGGCATTCATGCAGTTAATCACTTAAGCAAATAGACTCATGGCAAGCATGCTATCATGGCAACACTCACACTCATGCAAGTATGCTAAAGCGTAAAGACTTACAGTGTACTCCAAGCTAAGAAAGAAAACAAAGTTAGAAAAATGCATGATTCCTAACTATGTTAAAATGCCTAATGCAACTAAATAGGCTCGGCTACCTAATCATGGTATATGCAACACTTTGAAAACATGATTTTGAAACACGTATTTAAGCAAGTGTATTGAAATGACGATGCAGTTTGAATGATACGCCGACCCCGGTGCATGCAATACAAATGAATGATGCACGCATGCAAGCATAATGTATGCTAATCGAAATATTCCCTAAACTAACCATCGAAAGCGGTAAGTAAAAGGGAGAAAGACGTGGGGTTGGAAGACATGCACACAAACACGCACACTTATTACAATATTAGGCCCTCGCGAAGGAGGGTCCGAATAAATAAGCTAAGCTAATCTTAGCTAAGCTAATTAAACTAATCTAATTAAACTAATTAGACTAATTATTACAAAACAACTAATTAACTATGCTAAGCTAATTAATTATTACAACACAATTGAATTTGAATAACTAGTTATACAAACAAATTAAAATATTACAACACTTGAATAATTAGCTATACTAACTAATTAAAGCAATAAAGTGGAGCAAGTAACGGCCTTGGAGGCGAGGGAGACATGTATGCTCGGTTGCGTCCTCCCGAAAAATCAATCACTTTGCCACCGGTTGCCTCTGTTTGCATTTGCCATGGTTTCCTAACACTGAACCAACTTCCAGACTGTTTCTGCTACAAAACAGGATCATTTTTGCACAAAACTGGACTAGTGGCCTATCGGCCACAAAAAGTGGCAGTCGGGCCACCTGCTTCTCCAGGCTTCTAGTTTTGCTGCAACAGAGAACAACAGAGGCACAACAATGTATTCTTCAAGGAATGTGTGTACTACCACCCTCCTTATCATATCTCAAGCTCAAAGATGTGCGGCACTCGGCTCTCAAGCCACCAATCACGTATTTTCATGCATGATGGCCAAAGGACCAAGCGTGTACAAGCTTAGTGAATGCGCACATAAGACTCAAAGTGTCGCCACCCTATCATGTATGATCAAGGGTGACAACGACCAAGAAACGTGACACGTTTCATCACTTTGAGTATGAAACGTGCCACATTTCTTGTGTTTGGATTAACGTCCGATCCAAACACATGCAATGCAACACACATATGTTATCTTGGCATGTTTTACTTGATTCGATTCTTGTTTGCACATTTTAAGTTATCGAACCATTCTTTAATGGGTTAAGTTCAATATGCAAGTCCTCTAAGGAGATGTGGTCAACCAAAAGATTGGTTTAAGGCATAGGAGAGACCATGCCTTTGACTAGGAGGAACCCTCAAAAGAGGGTTAAAGCCATTTAAGCACAAGTCTCAATCCCAAGCTTAAACACAATCTTAAGACCAACCAACTCTCAAAGCAAATAAAAAAAGATGAAGAAATGAGGGAGGTGGCAGATTTTCAGTGCTGAAATGGCATGCTCAAGACACTAAATCATGCAAACAATCCATACAAGACATGCTCAAAAGCAAAATAGATTAAGCTAGTAAAGAGCATCACTCTAGAAGCATGCAATATCAAGCATAAACAACAAAACCAGCTCTCGACAGAGCTTAATCATGCCAAATCAGAGGCTGCAACATGCTAAAATTGAAGCTCAAATAGCAAGAAAAACATGTTCGCATGTAGGCTCACAAGCAAGGGATAAAGCACAACTCTCAAAAGCGATGAAAGAATGGAATATGTGAGAGTGTGACTACACTATATGCGCTGAAATTACATGCAACATGAGGCTATATCATGCAAATATCACAAGCAAAGCATGCTAAGGCCCCTAAAACTCAAAGCTAGTCAAGGCCATTACACTACAACTATGCATAGCAAATCTCATATGTCCAAGACCTCTCAAAACAGAGTTAAAGCATGTCAAAACATGAGCAAAAACATGCTGAGATAGATCTAACATAAGCTAGAATAATAGGCTAAACCAAGCATGATAAGCTAGTAAACATGATTACACTATAAGTGTAAAAAGCAAACAAGAGGTGCTCCAACCAGCCAAAAATAGAGTTATAACATGTTAAAATAAGGCCAAAAACATGCTGAGATCAAGCCATGAGATGGTAGAAAAACATGCTCAAAGGTTAGGCCAACTATGCATACAAACAAGATACAAGGAGAGGGGACCACCCCCTTCTATTTTGGACCACAAAACCAACTTTTCACCATTGAAATTCCTCTGAGTTTCAGTGGTAGAAAGGCGAAGAAAAGGTTGTTTCAAAAGCTTTGAAAGATGGCTCAAATGGTTTTACAAGCCAAAGAGCAAAGGGAGGAAACCACCCCCTAACTAAACAAGACTCAAACAATTACTTTAAACCCTTAAAAACAGAATTTTTGGAGGTTAAAACCAGCCTCAAAATAGCATGCAAAGGTGGCCAAGCTATGAAGTAAAACAAAGCTTTAAAGAGGTAAGTCCTTACCCTTGAAGCACAACAACAAAACAGCCACTATTTGAGCCAAAACCAGCCTTTAACAGCCCAAAATAGGTTCCAAGGGACCTCATCCCAAAGATATGTAACTTTGATGAAGGATGTCTAGGCAAAGGAGAAGTGTATCCCTACTTCTTATGCACACTCTCCTCTTGTATGCACAAAAGGGCAAGAGAGAGAGAGAGAGGACTCTAGAGAGAGAGGATTTTTAGAGAGAGAGGCTCCCAAAATATGCTAACCTCCAATAATGAGAGAAATGGCCTCCATATATAGCAAAAATAGAGCCTTGGTCAAAATATCTACAAATCAGACAGCTGGAGGTTGTGTAGAATAGCTGGAGGGAAAAGATCTGCAAAATATCTAAGTTTTGGTTGTAGTAGCTGACCAGCCACCCCAACTGGCCGACCGGCCACTTTTCTGGCTGACAGGCAAAAATCTTCTTTTTGGCCCCGATTTCAAATGGGAATATCTCCTTCATATGGACTCCTTTTCAGGTCATTCTTGTGTGTAGATTGAAGCCCCGGAAGTAAGATTTCCAATGGTAGAAGCCTCACATCTAAATTCGAAGTGTGCTAAGAAATATGCTTCTTTTAGTACAGGCTGCTTAGTTTTCGCTCAACCGGAATCGTGCCGAACTTGTCCCAAACTAGTTTTCTTCTCTCTTCTCCTCTTTTCTTCAACCCCAAACCCCTAAATAAGTTGTTTTGAAATATTTTTCAGAGGTTTCACCTCTCTTTCATTCATTTGCACTTTGTGCTTGCTCAGTTTACCGAAAATCGTAACATTTAACGAAATACGAGCCTCGGAACATCGTAGAATCATTTTTCAAAAATATTTTGAAAGAGAGGGTTTTAAGGTCTATAATCTTTGGTCAAACTAGTTTTGGTCCACAACTGGGTGTAAGGTTCGGATTCGACTCTCTCCTTGCCGAAGAAATCGATCCTTTGCACTGCACAACTTTCATCACCAAGTAAGCAATCAGTGGCACCCAAGTCTTAAGGGCGGTCAAAAATGGGGTGTCTACAATTGCCCCTCTTTGACAGGGCTCGGAGTCATGAAATGACGTGAGTGAATGTCAAAGCCCAAAGACGACCCATTTTTGACAATGCTGAAGAATTGGACAAACAAACAAAATGCAAAAGCAATTGGTTGAACTCGAGGGTTGCCTACATATCCTTGTGCAAGGAATCAAACCAGCGTAGTTCAGGGGCATGATGCCAAATGATATGCAATGTAGTGAAACAATGTAATGATATACAATGTAATAAAACAATGCAAATGACATGCAATGTAATTGAAATGATCAAACCACAAGTAGTGCAAAATCACAAAAATATCATAAAGGGATAGAGATGTAACTCGAACTACGTTTACCACAGAAAAGGTGCCAGAGCGCTTAAACCACAATTCTTTCAGTGGAATAGGTGCATGCACATGCAGAACTGTGTGTTTCGT